ATGAAAGTTAGTGGTCCACATGTACAAATCCCCCACTCCCACCAAAAGGTAATGTATAGGGAAATTACGTCACTAGTCTTTAATTCATTATTTTAACAAGTTAATCTCCAACATTTTAGAGTAATGTTATTCATTTTCAGTGGGGATGAATAGCATTACTCAACATTTTAAGTCCATGTGTTTAATAAATATTATTAAAAAAGAATATATTTTAAATAGTGATATGATAAGAAATATGTGATTAAAAAGTAAGAAAAATTATTGATATGATGAAAAATATTATTTTATTGAAAAATGTACGACTGAAAATGAGTTTTGACAGAATGTATTTTTAGAGAATATATGTCAAACATAGGCATAATTTAAAAAGTTGATAAAAAATTTAAATTAACAATTAATTTAAACCACACATTTTATTAAATTCAAAAATTTTCAACCACGCATTTTATCAAAATTTACTAAAATGTACTTTTAACTACACCAAATTAGGGTGAAATGTATCACATCGATTATCAACTTTTTATTATAAGTAAGTCCGTATTTGGTCCGAATTAAAATATAATTTTAATTCAAGTTAAAGTCAAACAATCAATATTAATCATATCTTTCATGGATCCCACAATTTTTCAACCACATATTTCAAAAACTTCTATCACAATGTACTAAAAATCTAATTTTAATTCCCACCAAACACCCTCTAAGTAACCAATCTTTAATAAGAGAAATTATCAAAATCTATGTCAAATTGTTATATGGTCTTGTAGTGTCTAAATTTTTTTTTTCTTTATTTTTTCTTTTTGCATGTCTAATTTTCATGAGGTTGTGTGTTGCTATACAATTTGGATTGGCACCTATAAATTTGAAATAATTCGTGTATTTATGAGTAGCACAATAGCATTACGAAGTTTTGAAATATAATGAAAGATCAATGACCAACTTTCTACTAAAATAATAGATTGAGGACTTAGGTACAATTATCCCTTGATTTAGATGAGCACTAAACTTGAACTTATTTCATAAGAAAAAGTTGAAAAAACAAAATGCATGTAACAAAATGAATATGTGGTTGCATTAGCATACATAATTAAAATGTCTACCATTATATGTTGCATTAACATATAAAACTCATCCCAATTTTAGTAATATATTATATGCAATGATAACAAGATTTAGAATATATTAGGAACACTTGCATATGTTATTTCCTTTAAACTTGTATAATGGACTCTAGATATAATTTAAAGAGTAATGTTATTCATCCTCAGTGGAGATGAAAACACAATCTATGTGGTTTTAAATTATAGGTTAAATGAAAGATGAAATTAAATGACTTATTTAATTTTACCTATAATTTAATGTCACATTGAAACCACGTAGACTGTGTTTTCATTCCCAGTAAAAATGAATAGCATTACTCTAATTTAAAAGGTACAAAAATTTTTAATGCATAAAATTTTGATGCTCCAAATTCTAATTTAGAGAACACTGTAGAATCAATTAACATTGTAGAATCAAAATTTACTTTCAGTGCATGTGATCAAATTTTGTCCAAGTTCAAATCACAACTTAGGACTTATTTGATACGGCAAGTTTTTTCATGGAAGATAAAAAACTTTTTCCCATTTTCCACTTTTTATAATGTTTGATAGGAAACAATTTCCAGATAATTCCACATTTTTTACATTTGGTTTGCCACATTTTCTTGTTTTTTGAGGTAAATCAATTCACTCCACTTTGATGAGAATTGGTTTTCTAGGCAACCTTTTTTTTTTTTTTTAATTTTTCAAATAAAAAATTATATTAATCAAACGCAATTAATTGACAATTCTCAATAAAATAAATTCTAAGCAATTTAATTTCATAAAATTCATTTTATTTTCATTCAAATTTCATTCTTACAATCAATAAAAAGTCCATGTATTAAAAAAATGGCAAGATTTTGAATATCGAGCCCAAAATTAATATGCTCAAATTACATCAAATCATAATTTGTTAGTTTCTTAATAATATTCAATTTTTTTTAGAAAATAAATTATACACATAACAATTTATTCGTGTATAATTTTAAATATATATACTCAAAAAATACAATCTCAAACCCATAAAGAGGAGGGTTTGGAAAGGGCAAAAAAAACATAGAGGTAATTACCAAAAACCAGATGTTTAGTTTCAAGTTTATGAAAATCAGATTTTAACTTTATTTAATCAAAAATCAAATTTTATAATATTTAATTAATAGTGTTATTATAAAATTAAAATAACATACATACACATCTACCCCCACACCAAATATAAAACATAAATCTATCCAAATCCTAACCTATCAATTCATTTCTCTCATCCCACCATGTCTGTCGCTTCCACCGCCACCTCTTTCCACCCCCACCGCCGACGCCCGCCGCCTCTTCCTCCCTTTTCCCTCCTTCTCTCCACCGCAGTCGCCCTCCGCCTCCTCCTCCTCCTCCTCCCCTCCCTCTCTCACTCCCTCTGCTGCGTAATGCTGCTACCATTCAGCAGAGTCGCTGTGACGCTGCTGAACGATAGCGACGTCCCCCCTTTCCCCTTCACCCTCCCCTCGTGTTACTATTGGTCAGGTTTTTCTCTCTGTTCGCTACAAAGATAACAACAGCCACAACGCCCAGGAAGCATTGTGCCGTGCTAAGTTCAAATTCCTGGCCATCAAAAGATTATTGTCAGCACGAAATGGGGGTTCACTAAACACAGCCGCACTGATTACCTGAAGTGGAAATCTGAGAATCGTATCATGTCTGATGGTGTAAATGCTAAGATTTTGGAATGTCACGGGCCACTAGCTCAGCGTCAACCAAGAATAGCATTTTTATCTCAAGCTGAATCTGCCTAGGATTTCTATATATGTGATGATAAGCTCCATCTAGCACATTTAGTTTTTGAGTTCCGCTATTCTGTGACTTGACTGCCTGCTTTTTTAAATATTCTTTCATGTTTTTTGTTTTTTTTAGTGTCTGTGATCTAACAATTGTGATTTTTTTAATATTTGTGACCTAGCTTAAAATTGATAATTTATAACTAAACAAATAATCTGTGACCTCGAAATAATATGTGACCTATAAAATTTTAAATCTGTGACCTACAAAAATTTTTATCTGTGACCTGAAAATAATACGTGACCTACAAAATTTTTTATCTATGACCTCGAAATAATCCGTAACCTACAAAATTTTTGATCTGTAACCTTAAAAAAGTCACCAAAGTGGTCGCCGGTCACCAAAGTAGTCGTCGGAGCAGAGGTGGCAGTGGAATGGGTTAATTATATTATATTACAATTTAATATTTAATTTAATATAATAATTATGAAATATAATTAATTAATTTATGAAAAACCTGTTTTTTGCAATTTTAAACCTTGAAACCTGATTTTTGATTTTGAGATAAATAAAGCCTGAGTTATAAATTTTTCCCAAAAACATAAGAGCTCGTGGCTGAAGTCGACTCATGCTCAACCCAGCTTAAGCTCAGCTTGTGAGCTCTTATCGACTTGGCCCATTAACACCCGTAGCAAGGCCCATAGACAGCATCACTGGGCAATACTTCTAAATGGCATAACATTCTGATTTCATCAAAAATCAAATTTGAGCAAAACCAAACCAAAAAGTGGGAATGACAAAAACAAAATTCATGATGTCAAATTCCAATTTTTTTAAGAATAACTTGAAATACAGTATGAATGCTTCTGAAGCAAGAGTGTAAATAGGGGTGTCCAAAAGTCCCGAACCGAACCAGACCGAACCGAACCCGAACCGAACCGAACCGAACCGAGCGGTTCTTCAAAAATTAAATACCCGAACGGGTACCCGAATCGAGAACCGATGGGTTTGGGTCGGGTCTCGGGTCTAGACCAAGAACCGAAGAACCGAATAAGAACCGAAACTAAATAATTTTTTTATTTTTTATATTGAATTAATTAAATTATTTTATTTTTTTCTTTTACAAATTAGCAAATTAATTGAATAAATTAGATTATTTCATAATTTTAATTTTTAAGCCCAAATCATTTTAAAATCCATTAGCCCATTTTAATTTGAAGCAAATGAATATACTTTATGTAGTTTTGCTGTAATATTAATATCTACTTTTTGGTATTTGTATGCATTGAATTAATCTTATTGGACGGCTAGTTTTGTATATTTTTTTGAATTGGGCTACGTTAATTTGTAAAAGTTACGAATGAAATGTTATTAATTGTATTTATGTAGTGTTGCTGAAAATATTAAAAAATTTAATTATGGTACGGAACCGAACGGAACCGAACCGACCCGAACCGAACCGAACGGAACCGAACCCGAACGGTTCCATAATTATATTTGGACCCGACGGGTCCATTTATTAAATACCCGAAAGTTTTGGGTCGGTTCGGGTATCTTCAGAACCGAACCGAACCGACCCACGGACAGCCCTAAGTGTAAAGACACACATTATCAAGATCAAAAAATAAAAAATAAACTAACTCTTTTAAGAGATTTATCCCAAGAAAAAGTTGAATTTTACTGGGCATCTTATAATTTTGCACATAAAGCAAACTTCTTCAAAAAAGGCTTGAAGGTAATGCCCCACATTCAAAAATTACTTTAGTTGCACAATCCAATTCAGCAAAACTCCTCCCAAAAATACAACAGCAAATTGCAACCCCAAACACAGATTGAGCTCAAAAACAATTAATTGTTGCATTTGAATTCCCAAACCTCCATTTTTTCAGGAAAAACAAAAAACAAGTTCCATCCATTTTACTCACCAAAATATGAATCCAACATGAAAAAACTAAGAACCAGTAAATCTACTTGGAAACAAGAAGTTTCTTTCATTAATTTAATTAAGAACCCAAAACAACACAACCATCAACTTACAATCTTCCTTGTTCACCCTACCAATACACCTAACAAGCATCAAAAGAAAACATTCTAAGCCCACAATTTTCATACAAGAGGAAGAGTCAGATAAGGGTAAAATACATGTCAATTGTGCTAAGCGGCAGCTTTCTTAGGAGATTTGGTAGCCTTAGAAGGAGATTTTGGTTCCTTTATTGCCTTTTCTCCACCAGTTTTCTTCGGCAACAGCACCGGATTAATGTTCGGAAGCACTCCACCGTGAGCAATGGTGACTCCTTGCAACAACTTCCCAAGCTCTTCATCATTCCTCACGGCTAACAATACATGCCTTGGGATTATCCTGTTCTTCTTGTTGTCCCTTGCTGCATTGCCAGCCAACTCCAACACCTTTAATCCAACACCAAAACAAAATAAATCACTTTTCAAACATTTGGTAAATTATATTATGTAGCACTAGAGAGGATCAAGAATGTGGGGATTGTTATTTTGTTCTTTATCATTTGAGTACTATCTAAACACACCGTTTACGCACTCATTTCAGATCTAAATTCTATTTCAATTTTTCAGAAAATAATCAGTTCAATCAAGATTCCATACATAATAAAGGAAATTAGCTTTAACCGAAGACTTTCAATATCAAATTAAATATGCTGATTAAATAAATCAAGATCTATACAAGAAATAATGAACCTTTTTAGAAATCAACAGACATATTCTGAAAATTTAAACAAAAACCGAATAATCAAAATGAAACAGAAGTCGATGAATTATAAGTTCGAATGCATTAAAAAGATCCTAAATACAGATCTGTAACAGAGGGATAATTACCTCAGCAGCGAGATACTCAAGGACGGCAGCCAAGTAAACCGGAGCTCCGGTACCGACCCGCTGAGCATACCGGCCATTCTTCAAGTACCGGCCAATTCTTCCAACCGGGAACTGCAGCCCGGCTCTAACGGACCGAGTCACGGGCTTCTTCTTTGGGCCTCCGCCCTTCCTCCCTCCGGCACCCTTCTTGATTTTCCCGGATTCCATTAAATGACAATACTAGGCCTGGAGAAAAGAAATTACGTGTATATATGCGTGGGTAAAACTGGTAATTGATTCAGACGGCAGCCATAGAAATCGGGATTGTGTTTTATAGTGGTGGTAGTAGAATCAAGTTTTTGGAAATGCGGCACTAGTAACCATTGGATTTAGATGTAATCGACGGTGAAGATTGTTTCAGTCTTGATCCGCGTCAGTTGGAATGTGACCAATGAGAGAATAAACGATTGAATTTGAGAAGTTGAGTTTGGAAATTAATTTTGGGGCAATGCTAGGTGTACATAATATATGTACATAACTTTCACATGGGATGTGACCTATTCATAGGACCCACACAGATGGATCCCATCTTATGTGAGAGTTATGTACATTATGTACAATAAGAATAAACCTTAATTTTGAGACCTTATTTGGAAGCCGGTAACTAGTGATGGCAAAAAAACTCATCCCGCCCTGTCCCGGCATCGCGCCGCCCCACCCCGAATGGGACAAAAAAACCCGCCCCAACGGGTTGGTG